TCAAGGGCGTCCGTAATTAACAGATAAAAATTTAGTAATCACATCAGTTTTGTACGTTTAACTACAAAACTACAATTAATCGTTCTCAAAATCTTACCTACACTTAGTTAGAAGTAACAAAAAAACTCTCAAAACAAATAAGTCAAAGCAAAAAAAGTTATAACAAATAAGTCATAACAAGTAAGCCAATGTCCTTCCAGGGCTTTCGTACGATTCTCATACGTCTTTTGGATCCCGATTTGGATTATTTACTCGGAATTTCTTTGACATTATTACGGTTTTATAATATATATGTTAATTAAATTGCAATCTTTCACAGTACATTTAGGAGCTGTTTAAATTATAATTCAGTACACTAGTATATATAAACCGAAAGAAATGAACAGTACCCTAACAGTTGTAATTAATTAATAAAAAAGTGTCAATAAATAATTTTGTATTTATATTTCCAATTGCTTAGAGATGAATACTGATATCATCCTCTACGTATAATACATTTTATATGCTTGCTTTAACACTGCATTATAAAATATAATTTTATATTTTTCATTCATTACAATATTTTTCTTGCATTTAGAAATTCTTACATGTATAGTTTGAAGTAATATGAGCTGCAAGTTTGATGACGGATTTGTTTGTTGCAAAATTGTAAATAACTATTTCAATGACTGAAAATAACGTTGATAAAACCTATGTTGTTCATATTTGCGATGGAAGAACTATTTATAAGCTTCGATTGAATCAAAATTACATTATTGTTGTCCTGTGCAATAATGATTTCTTATATAAAACTGTATATTGGATTGTACTTAGAAATCTTTCTTCTGTTTTAGTCTAATTGATTATAAAGGCTAATATTAACTACAAATTTATCATAATAACCCATTTTCAGAGCAAAATGAAATTTTTAAAAATGCAGCTCATATTGCTTTAATAAATTGAATAAAAAAATTCTATCTCTTGCTGCAGGAATATGAACTCTTTCATTGATTTTCAATAATAATATTGATAAAATTAAGTTTCATTTCCGTAGGCTGATTAAAATTTGCCTTGTCTATACTTTATCCGACTAACGATTAATTTAGGATGCGCATTATTGCAAAATGTATATAACATGTAAATATAAGTGCATAAACAAAGTTTTGTCGAGGTATCATTTAATTTATTTTCTCACATGTATTGGGGGAATTTATTACAGAAACAAGTGCCTGTGATTAGAATTTCCATGCTCCTAGGGGACCAGATTAGAATTCAGTGAATGTTCTTCACTCAGTATGGTTCATATAACATTTCAATAAAGAATTTTATCTAATGTAAGCAATATGTATAGGAGAGAAACCGGGCGGAGGTGTAAGGGTGAAATGTTACAGCAAACAAAAGGCCAAAAGGTACACTTCAGCCAAGACTGTCTGACCCCCTATATTCATGAAGTGAGTTAACAAAAAGAAATGTGTTCTAAATGTATTTAATTGACCTTTTTATAAGTTTTTTCTTATATTTTTATTAGAACAAGCAAATTCAAAGAATTGTGGTCCCCCGTTTCCGGTCTCTTTGTAGATGAGATGTCATTTTTTTTGTCATGACATGTCAAATATGAACGCCCTATCATATGTCATTTATAAATCATCACTGAAATTATTTTTTGTAGAAATGAGACCAATCGTGAAGGTCAAGGTCAAGGGGTCAGAAATCGTAGAATTTTCGGAAAGATCTTGTCACAAGTGATGCTCATGTCAAATATGACAGCATCTTTTAAAAAAAAACGAAAAAAGATATGTTTTTATTTAGGTCAAAAGGTCAAAGTTGTTGATATCAAATGCAAGGTCTTGTCACAAAAAATACGTATGTAAAATATCAAAGTCTTGGTATGTACGAGGGCTGTTCGAAAATTATTGAGATATTGTGTATATTTTGCTTTCTGATGAACATTTTTCAATGAAAATTTACATTTACATAATTTACGTTTGACTTACACCTATAATTAATAAAAGCAAGAAATATTTTTCAAATATTTAACTCGATTCCTAGAATGGTATATAAATGTGTCAATAGTAGGGGTACCCGGAACAGTCACGAAATCAACTATTGAAAATATATAACACCAACTCTTCGTGGACCTATAATAAGAGCTAAAATATTTCATTTTTACGAAAGATTAATCAGCTTTATTTCATATTCATGTTCTGTAACTTTGTTAGAATTTTGAATAGAAATACGAAGATCATAAAAAAAATAAGTGCGGTAGAGAAATCAGCAATCATCAACAAATTAATTTTGACGTCAAGGGCGGAGCAGTGAGCACACCTAAAATTTTAAGAAGCACAATGTAGAACTCTTTTCAAGATTGATGAAAAACCTAATAAAACAATAACAACGTGAAAAAAATGTGTTTGGGTTTGTTATTTTATTGGTAGATATTTTTGTACAATTTATTCAACCAGTGTAAAAAATTAAAAGCTCTGGTTGACCATCAGTAATTACGTACGATATTAATCTCATTTACGGCATTAATAACGTTGACCCGCGTTGCACAAATCAGCACTGCATGATGCTAAGTCAATCTTTCCCACAATCGAAAAGTTTACACTGGGTTAGCAACAGTATACATTTAATAGAATAGTTTAAGAAAAGAGATTGTTTGATTTGTATTATGTTACATGTAATAAAAAAGAAGGAAGAGTATTTAAAAAGGCTTCCCGATTGTTTCACATGCGATCGAAACCATCTCCGGCTGACGTGACGTCGAATGACGCAGCGATGCTGCTCCGGGTCGATAGACATATGCAAGTTTATTATTTCACCGAAATTTATTTATTTATCATAGGAATTAGAAATTTTGCATAATTGTTTTATTCTTTCTTTATAAATTGTTGATTAATTTTCATGAAGATATCCCCGTCGTTTATGGAGTTACTGTAATTATCTCAATAATTTCCGAACAGCCCTCGTACTGTTCAAAAGATATGGCCAAAGTAAAAGTTTGGAATTTTTGTGTAAAAGTTGGTCGAGCTCCAAGGTTAATTAAGGTCAAAAGGTCAAATTTGGTGGAACCCAAAGATAGATCTTGTCACAGTGGAAAACATATGTAAAATATGAAAGTCATAGCTCAACTTAATCAAAAGTGATGGGCAAGATTAAAGTTTTTGTGACATTGACAGACTGACAGGTAGACGAATGAAATTTAATATTCCCTCTTTTTCGCAAAAGCGGGGACAAAAACTCATACTTAATCAAATACATATATATTGAGACTTTTTAACGCGCAAGGTCGTGCCGAGAAGAGAATGCTACCTGGAGCGTGATTGGCCATTAAAAGAAAATACCTGTTCAGTATTTGACAAGTGAAATGTGGTAGGATTGGAACTTACAGAGTTAATAAATAATGATAAATTTTATTGGTTACGATCGTTTATTGTACATTCGGAAACCTTCTAGCTTTATACAGTGATTTGGAAAACGTCATTGCATGGGTTATACATAAAATACAGTTTTTGAGTGGATAAAAGAGACACATGTCCAAACCGCGGTATATTTTAAGTCCAGTATTTCACGTGTAGATCAGTTGGTTTGGAACCTTTTCAAAGGTTTGTGCCAGCTCAATTTTTAACAATCGGGACGGATCCCGCTCTCTGTCTCTGTTTCGTTCAATTCAATTAATTGTCTCGTTCAATACGTTCAAGTTGTTCTTTTGTTTTCCTTATTTACATGTCCATTTTATTGTTATTTCCAGTTCCTTGTTTCTATTTTTGGTAAACTGGTTAGGTTAGACGTAGTAGATTTTTCGTGCAAGGATGGGTCACTTTTCTTCGGACTAAGCATTGAGTAAGACGGGCTCTGGACTTTTACAAAGGTGTATTGGTTTATAAGAAATTGGTTTAATACGCAAATAACTGTAAATTAAACCAACTTTTATTCGCGACGACTTTATTTCGCGATTTACCGGGAGTAAACTAGTTCGCAACGATTAATTTTCGCGATCAAGTCGTTTTTGGAACTTTTTCTCGCACGCGAATAAAAGTTGGTTTACAGTACTCTTATTGATAAAGACAGTGTGTGATATTTAAGAGGTTTTTTCAAACGGTCGTTTTCGTTACACTGGTATCGTGGAATTTTTCTGAATTGCATCGATACCATGTAACGAATTCCGGTTACTTTTTTGCCGTTAGTGGTTTCTAAGTTTGAGGGTAAAACCAAATCCTGTCACAGAAATAAAGGTGATATAAAAATATCATATCAAGACTTAGGCTTCTTTGAGAAACATAGGAATTACAGGTAAAATTTGTAGGGAGGGATGCACTTTGGAAAGAGATTTTTAATTTGGTGCAGAACTCACATAGTTGTAAACAAATGGAATTTGAAAATAAAAGTGCAACGGAACGGTATATTTTTTCCCGGCTTGTTTTGTTTTGGCCAAAGTTCAATATATGTATAAGTGACAAGGGCTCAACTTTGTATGGAAGTCTATGGGAAAAAAATTGGTAGTATTTATCCCTTAAAGCACTCTTTACTTTCACTTTCATTTTCTCTGATTTTGGCAAAAGATTTCCGACAGAGAGAAAAAAAAACTCTTGAGAAAAATGTGTGCCAATTAAGAGATTTTTATAAACTTTGCAATCAATTTATTTTCTTAAAATATGTGTAAATAGTATCTGTCCAATTTAAAAAAAAAAAACATGTATGTCCATCGTTATGGGTAAGAAATCTTTTAGCTTTTATCTGCAGGTTCAATTTTTTTTCAACTCTCTTGTATAGAAATAAACATAACAAATTAAACAAAGAAAAAGAATAATAATAGTCACCTGTTTTAATTAAATGTACATTAATAGGGTAAAATACCATTAATAGGTATTTCCAGCTAGAGAGAAAATGGGTGACCCGTTGCCATGGAAACAAGACCAATGGGTTTCACCAAAAGTTTCAACAAAATCGATTGGAGTTCATGTTTACAGAGAAAGACTTTTAGAGTTCATGTCAGTTATAAGCAAAATAAAATGACTTACCTGATTCCTGACTGACCAACAAGATTGTATTTAATCTCCAGCCAGTGATAGCATGCTTGGCCTTTCGAGACCGATAGATTAAGTTTCTTGATCGTTAATTTTATATTGGAATCGCTTGGTCCCTACAATTTAACATAGATATGTATGGCTAGAGTTAAAATACATTGTAAATAGAAGCTTTTTAGAGGTGCTTTATTGTAAAAAAAAATGCTTCAATAATAACAGCTATGTTAAAGGGGCATGGACACAATTTCCACTGAATTTTTAAAACCAATTTTAATGTTTACTATTCCTACCTATGGCCTCATCTAAGGATAAGCAAAAATTTAAACATCATTTGTTGATTAACAAACGAGATACAGAACTTAAAGCTCATAATTTTTGTTTACATATAGAAAATATGAAATTCAGCAAATAAATAGAAACTGTTGAATCGCATTTAAAATAAACTTTTTATTGAAAATATCTCCTTTGAACGAACATATATTAGTAAATTAACCTATGTAAACAAAAACATAACATGGACCTTGTTTACATAACAAAGGGTTTGAGCTATAAATTTGTCTTGTATCTCGACATCTGACGTTCAAATTTTTGATGATCATTAGAAAGACCCTAGTTGAATATTTGTAAAAGTGGAAAAATAAAATTTGAAAATTTACCTGAAACTGTGTCTATGCCCCTTTAAGCACCGATATGGAAAAGTTACCAAGGCACCGTTTTAATTAATATGTATAACTTCTTTTAAAAATTGTAACAAAGTTAGTGAATATCTGTAGAAAATGTAACATAGTTTCCCATTATGGATAGGGCTGGACCGCATACAATACACAGAGTTATATCGCATGTATCAACTTTTTGTCATGTGACAAGTATAAATTTAGAATTGTAAAGTAATTAGTAAAATAAAGAAACAAAAATTTATAAAGATCTCTTTCTCAAGAAAGGCAAAGTCATATGCAGTATTGATATGGAGATATTCTCAAGTAGTTAAATTTACCCCCCCCCCTTTCAGTAAACTTTTTAATTCTGATCTGATTTGTGGTTTTTCCTAGATGATGTGCTCATGTGAGCGATGGGGCCCTTGGGCCTCTTGTTATATATGTAACCTAGTTTAACAGTAATGGAAGGCTATTGTACTCTAATCATCCAGACACATCTCTTATTTGTTCTGTATTTCCAGGGATATTTGTCTGATGGTATAGATTCATATTGATTCCAATCAAGATCTATGATGCCTCCACAATCTACAATAAAAGTAAAGTTAAAGATTAATAAGCATTTAAAAATATGTGATGCTATTATATGTTGTACGCTAAAGTAATCATTTTCCATTCAACAAAAAAGTGGTGAATATTTTTAAAAATAATTTGGGTAACATTTTATAGAAAAGAAAACATTGTTATATATCTGCCTTGCCATCCGTTACATGGGCATATTGAAAAACTAGAAACTCGTCTTAGTGGAACTAGGGAAAGTTATGTCCTTTTGCAGTCCCAAGAGAGGCTTTACCTGCACACTCTGTTCTATGTGTTAACCCCCATCGAAGTCCCCGTAAGCTATTTATACGTAAATAAAATGAATGTGTTTTATTGTTTATGGAAACGTTGAGCCAACGTTTGTGAAAATTCCAATATATTCAATTCCCTCTCAGTCATATCAAGAAATTGCTTATACGTAAAATCACTAGATAGGGTTCATTACATACGCTGTGAATATCACAGAAGAAAGAAGAAAGAAAGACTAAGAAAATAAAAAAAAATAATCCACTTTCTGTAACGACCGGAAGTATTGACGACAGAAAAAAATTTCATGGGTGAAATCTATCATCTATGATATCTGACAGAGTAAACTTTTATATCTTAGGTAAGTCACTCCTTAGCTTTTTAGAAAAGTTCACGCAGAAGCTTTTACTTCAAAACTACTTATCAAAATTCAATTTTTATAACATATTTATATTCAACAATGTAAATTTGTTAACATTCAATGAAAAAACTGCTCAAAAATCAACAAAGAAGCAAGATTTATGAGGGACTATTTCTTTTGGTGGAAGGATATTTAGCAGAAAATTCTGCAAATCTGCACATTTATAAAATTTAATGTAATGGAAATTTAGCCTCACATACTTTTACTTGGAGAATATTTTCCGTTTTGAAATTGCTGAAAATATTTAATATAGGTCTTAATTTATATTTTTAGACTAAGTTTTACACCTTCCCTCAACAAACTTTCCCAAAAAATGAAAATATATGAAAGAAGTCAAGGTCAAATTTACACCATTTTTAGCCTGAAAATCACATATTTTAACAAATATTTCAAAATTAACATCACTGACCCCACCCTTTTCTTTCATTATTTTAAACTACTAGATACTTGTGACTGATCAGCACTCAAGTCGTAAAAAGTTTGATATAATTTTTTTTTTATTGTCTATTAAGTTTTTTAATACCCCAAGTATGTTATTTTTTAGTGCAAAAAGGTCAAACAATAATTAACGCGCATTAATTTGCAAGATTTATTTAATGTTAAATATTATTCAAACTATTTTACGTAAAACAAGATTATATTTATTGCCATGCTTACATCTAATCAAATATAATAAGGGTTAAAGTAATTAACCAAAGATATGAAATTTAAGTGCAAAAAGGTCAACTTAAATGTACCGTTGATCAGTAGGATGCACACTGACCCCCTATTTTCTTTGCGATTTTGAGTTACACTTAATGAGTACTTATCCAAAATATACTTCTCGAAAAATCCTTGATATAACAAACTTGAGGAGTGACTTACCTTAAGCTTAGAAATGGAGCGGAGAGTGGTCCTTTACAAAATTTTACCTTACAATAATATAAAGAATACAAAAAAAAACTTTTTACAAGTAATGAGTAGGTCTTCCGTTATACTGCTTCCTGTCGTATGTCCTTTTTAATGAAGGTATTAGCCTAAAACATACCCGGTATGTAGAAAAGGAAAACCAACTTGATAAATTCACTTTTTTGTAGGGATGTCAACGAATATTCGAATATTCGAATATTCATTCGATGAGTTAATATTCGAATATAAATTTAAGATTCGAATATTCGTTTTTACGTGTACACGTGTATAAAAGAGAGAAAAGCCTGACAAAACTTATTAGAAATTGAATCATGTTTATGCAAAATTCAAAGACACTCCTCTTGGATTACCTTAAAAGTGTGAAGAGTGTACCTATTAAAATAATTTATTCATTTGTTCACTTAATTAGTGGTATGATAGTTCCCAGTGCTTACATGTACAATCAGCTTGTATTGTTGTTAGGACACAGTTTTACAGTAAACACATGGATCCCTTGTTTATTAAAATATCATTAAAATCATTATCAGGAAATTAATTAGCAAAAAGTAATTGCTTTTAATCTTTCTCTTTTAATTAATTGTTCTGTTTGGTATAGATTTGTACGAGTTATCATGTAGACTTAAGTAAGACGATCAATTAATATGAAACATATTAAAAATCTTCTGAATTTCCCAAAAAATAAAAGAAAAGATTATGGATGCATACTCTTCATATATTTGATAATTTGAAAATATAATTGTGCTGCATTTGCAAAACTCTACATGGGTTTTTATTACAAAATAATGGCATAAAACATATACTGCTTGACAGAAGAGAGAAGATATGTATTTTATAATGCAAGATGCATTTTTTTTATCGAATATTCGAATATATTCGAATACTCCTATCGAATATTCGAATATCAATTATTGACAATTTTGACATCCCTACTTTTTTGTTATGACCCGTTGAGACCTTAAGTGGAGAAGACACACGATTTTCACATGATGCAAATAATTTTTTGACTAGTTATCAGTACTGAAACTTTAAGACTTGAGTCGTTTCCTTTTTCAGATCGCGAGTCATTGTGAGAATGAGGTCGAATTAAAGGAAAGAAATCATACGACCGGAAGTAAATAAAAATCTTTGACGCTTCTCCAGACATTTGTAGTATCCACAACATGTATGAAGACATTTTAAATACTAGTTTATCTATAAGCAAATATTAATGAGAAAGTTTAAAATTTCTCTTATAAAACCGAAAGTTGACATTTTTGTTCCCGGTAGAATCTAACGTATTTCAACACGGCGAAAGGGATTCAATAAAGTTATATTAATTTTCATTTTAAAATGAAAAGTTCAAATTTTCAATTTCCTTGATCTCTTCCTGTGATGATCGGAAGTGACAACCCTGTTATTTCTACATGTCGAGGTCTTTTATTCGTATAAGTTTGGTGTCTTAATCTCCTATCGTTTTCGTGATATTGATAAGATATAACTTTCCATTTTGAGGACAGGGAAACACGCAAGCTGAAGTTTATCTTAGAAAGATATTTGATGTTTCTCTAGACATTTGCAGTCAAAATGACATATCCAAAATTCATTCCAAATAGAATAATCAATAAAAAATATATTTGTGGGAAAGAAAAAATCTCATTCTTTTTTTTCTCTTATAAGCGGATGTTGCCGTTTTAAGATGCAATTATGTGATTAAAATAATCCAAAAGGGAAAAGTTGAAAATTTCGATTTCTTCAGTCACTCCCTTTGACAATCAGAAGTAACGGTGGACAATCTTAACCCAATTGGATTTGCATATACTCATCAAGATCTATTGCTCATGTAAGTTTGGTGCACTAATCTCTTATTGTTCTGAGATATGACTCGGACAAAATATTTTTGCAAATTGAAAACAAAAAGCGGTCATATCTGACGTCTGGAAGTTAATTTGAAAAAAAAATAAATTCTACGAAAAAAATTAGATGTATTTTCAATTTTTATCATCCCTGAAAATTTCAAAAAAATCCGTCCAGCCTTCTCTGAAAAATATTGCTGACAAGATTTAGGAAAAATGATAACTAGAGCAAAGCACAATGCAAAGCAACGAGTGGGTCTTCAATCCGATTTACGATCTTGACAATAATAGTTCCATTTAAAAAGACGGAAGAACTACGGAAGATGAATAAAAAAAATGCTGAATTTATTCACAATATGCTAACAAAAACAGATACAAAGTGAGATTTCTAATATTTATTTATATCCGGTTCTTTTTCTATGCATTCCTGTGTGACAGTCAAAACGACTAACAATTTTACAATGCGTGTGTTCCATGATTTTCCTCCAAGTTTCAATGAATAATACACATCTTTGAATATTTTCCGGTTTATAAGACCCAACTTCTGGTGTTTAAGACCCAAATTCCGGTGGATATAAAATTACTTGAAACACCCTGTAACTTTATGATAGAAACAATTAAAAATGATTTTTTTTTTAAATATTGATATTTTAAATTACTCCCGGTGGACAACGGAAGTAAAAACTAAATACAAGATGCAAATGTACTCAACAAAATCAATTGTCATAGAAAGTTTCATGATTGGAATTTTAATCTTTTTTGGGAAATGGGATGGACAAAATTTCAATAAAAAAAGAAAAGAGGGCCATGGGTCTTATAGGTCACTTGAGCACCATGCAACAACTTTCCAACAATTGAATCTGGTTCATGTTGTAAAGCAGAGGCCATGAAATTCAAAATATCTAAAGAGGCACCAGTTCTCATCATAACTACACACTTAGCATGATTTGGTTACTAAACACTCATATGCAGAGAAGGGGAACCAAAATAAAAACATTTCAACTAATCAATAATATTCAGCAATAATCAGTAGTGTCCCATCCTACAAGAATCCCTGATCCTACATGTAGGTCCAAACATTTCACAATTTAGTAAAAAACCTTTGTTCATTATTTATGTTTGATTAATATCAAGGAGCAGATTTCGAAGCACTTATTCATTTTAAATTTAATTATAATTAGAACCCTCCCCCCATTCACCCTCTTTCTAAGCCCTGATCCAAGGGCCTTGGAATTCACAATTCTGGAAGAATGGCTCTTGCTCATTATAACTATGTATGTAGTAAGTTTCTTTGATACCCATGAGCAGAGAAGAAAACTTTCACAGAACTAATGCATTTCCACTATATAATGAATATAGCCCTGTTCTAACATCAGAACTCCTGGTTTGTTTGAAATCCAAGAGCTGAGAAGATTTTCAAATAATTCATGCATTTTGACTTCATAATCAACCCTAAAGCCAGTATCCCGAACCTAGGAATATAAAATCCACAAATTTAGAAGAGATACCCTTCCTCATCATAACAATGTATGTAGTTAGTTTGTTCGATGCCCAGGAGAGAGAACATTTTCAAAGAATTAATGTATTTTCATTTTATAATCTACTAGTATATAGCCCCACCCTAACTCCAGAACCCCCGAACCCAGGGGCCATAAAACTCACAAATTTAAAAGAGGCACCCCTCCTCCTCATAACTATATATGTACCTAGGTTAACGTTGTTTGATGCCCAAAAGCAGAGAAGAAGATTTTCAAAGAATAAATGCTTTTTCACCAGGTTATCTATATACGACTGTAGCCCCGCTAGAACACCAGAACTCCTGACCCTGGAGCCTTGAAATTCTCAATTTTCGAAATTCTCTCTTCCTCATCATAACTATGTATGTAGTTTGTTATATCCACCGCTTGAAAAGTGGGAGGGTATACTGTAATCGGTATGTCCGTCCGTCCGTCGGTCCGTACGTCCGTCTAGCTGTACGTCCCTCCGTCTGTTACGCTTAAGGGTACCCATCTCTTATCCGCAACTCCTCTTATAACACTGTGAAAATTTAATGAAACTTTCACAGAATCTTTATTACATATTGCAATAGTGATCTCCTATTTCACTTTTTGATCCGACACATATTTTGGGTTTCCCGGCCACAGCAAAACATGGACTTTGTCATCAGATATAACCATATGGGAGGCAGGGGTATCATTCAATGAGCTTATTGGTCACCCTAGCTACCTCTAGTTTGTTTAATATCGCGGAGCAGAAAGGGACATTTTCAAAGAATGCATGCATTTTCATTATATACATGTAATCAATAGAACCTCACATTAAAGCCAAAATCCCTGCCCTTGGGTCATTTATTTCACAAATTAGAAGAAACACCCTTCCTCATCATAACTATATATGTAGTTAGTTTGTTTGATAACCAGAAGCAGAGAAATCGAACAAGATTTTCAAAGAATTCATGTATTTTCACTATATTATATATAAAGCCCCAACCTAGCACTAGAACCATTATCCACTGGCAATGAATTAAACAATTTCTGTAGAGGACTCAATGCTCAGATGATCTAAAAATATTAAATAACTCGCGACCGGAAGTGACGTCATGAACTAAAAAATACCTTAAGTTCATATGAATTGCAATCACTGTGAAAGTTTTATGAAAATCCAATCACGGGAAATCGCATGCAAAAAATCGAGAATAATAATAATAAGAAAAATTGAAAAGAAACAACAAAATAATAAGGTCTTCCGTTGAAAAGGAAGACCTTAATAATAAAAAAGTTGAATCACTATAAGGTCTTCCGTCTGAACCGGAATACATTAATAAATACTCCAATTATTTTAAGGTCCTTAATAATAAGAAGAAAAATAGTAAAAACAATAAGTATTCTCAAACTTCGTTTGGGGAACATAATTAAACGTAACAATCTATTACAGTACAGGTGTATTAACTGATAGCAAATGTTTTTTTTCTTTGTTTTTTTAGTGCTTATATATATATATATATATATATATATATATATATATATATATATATATATATATATATATATATATATATATATATATATATAAAGCACTAAAAAACCAACAACACTGTATATCCTAAATGTCGGATCTACCAAGTAGATACAAGGTCACGGATGGAAATTTATATAAAACACTAAAATGACCAACGAGACACGAACAATAAAAATTGTCAAATTTTCGGGACGCCCTGTCCCTTACTCAGGACAAAGAAAAAAGTTAAAAGGTCATAAGAACGAAGGGAAAAGAAAATCAAAAACAACTAGCACTACTACTAAACTACTAAACACTATATATTTACAAACATAGTTACATTTTGAATTGGAAATTTTTAAGAACACTATAATTAAAGAAAGAAATCCGGACCGCTATGAAATACGTCCGGTCTATCGGGTATGCTCGGGTGAAGTGCGATTTACATAATTGAACGAATTAATTATGCTAATTAATTACGACAATCAGTAAATCGTACAAAATTCTTAACATTTCTTTACACATAAACTCTCATAAAACCGTCCACCCCTGAAAACCGGACACCGGCCACTTACCAAAAATAAAATAAAATGATAACCAGAATATACATTTCATAATTAAAATAACAGAAGTTTTGCTCAGGAATGTTTTAATTATTTACTTTTCACTGAAATACAAACAGTTTTTTAATGATGTAAGCGATACACAGATACCCATGCAGTATTCTGTATAGAGTTCATTTAAGGTAAAAGGTCTGACACATTTATTTCTTCGCATATGGTTAATAAAAGTAACTTTCCATGTCTTTTCTGTTATTTTTTAAATTTTTAAAAATAAAAATCAACATGTATGACGAATTTATCATCATCAAATATAATTAACATTTTTTAAGACCTTAAGAATACATTACACGTCTGCCGTAATATAATGACATGTTGACACCAATTATATATTTTTCCTAGCATCTGTCAAATAGTTCTGCAATTCTTCAGTATGTTAGATTTTCGGGAAACCGGCCACCCCTCTAGTCCGGCCATTTTATTCAGTCCGGCAGCTGGCCAGTTTAGAGAAGTTTTACTGTATATATATAAACAGAGTCGATTTTACCTTTATCACTTTTAACCTGGTTACAAGTAGTGCCATTCAAATCGTCAGGACACATACACTGACACGTATGAAGAACATATCCACCGTTTTGGCACACAGGAGGATCTTCTTTACATAATGCTGTAAAAATCATTTTTTTTAAAACTACAATTAATGCGCACATATGATTTTTTCTTCATACATACGATTTAAGAAAGAAATAGGTTGGTCATTGTCTTCTAAAAAATAAGAAAACCTTATTATTATTCTTATCACTTAATCCTTCTAAAGTCAAGTTGTAACGTGATTAAATTTTAAGTGCTGGTTTCGAGAAAGCAGTGAAATGAATACTTTTGCTTCAATAAAGTATATCAAATTATGAATTGTTAAAGGATTTTTTTATTTAAGATATTTGGCCACTATTGGCCCCTTATTTGAGGGAGTAGCCCCCTCTCCTTCATTTTATCTTAAAGCTCGTGTAACAGCTCTTATTGAAAATTTTTTAGACTCTTTTGTTTTCTTTTCGAGGGAACAGCCCTTTAATTCCTTAATGGGAATGTTAAACAAAAAAACGAGAGGTGACCTCTTTAAATCAATATGTTACTTATCAAAATATTTCCACCGTTGAGAGATAAAGCGCTACAGATTTTGCATTGTGGTACCTTTTGGTCCTTATTCATGTAAAATATGACATAAAAGTAGTAATATATAGTTGAAGATTGTCGAGATAATTTTTTTTTCTATTTCGGTACCGCATTGCAAAATGTTGATTGTAAAAGAGTTATCGATTAAAGATTTATGACACATTACAGTCTCTAATTTGATTGGCTAGCCCCTTTTTATTTATTTTAGCTTAAAGCTCTCACGATTTCAAACAGATTTGTTCAACAAAAATTTAGAGATTTATTTTTCTTTTCCGAGATATTTGCAAAGAAATGTTTAGGTACCAACCCTTCAACTACTTTATGAGGACGTAAAGCAAAAATTGATAGGTGACAAAATATTTCGAACCTTAGGTATATAAAGTCTAAAAATCTCGAATTGGGACACCTTTTGATCCTTATTTCGGATGATGAGTACTGTAAATATCGCGAAAATATTTTTCAGTAGAAGACGTACAATAGAATCTCTTCGAAGGTCTTTTGTAAAGACAGACAACCTTAATAATATGAAACAGTATAATCAGTATTGTTCTGTTTCTTTAGATGCAGGTAATGTAATACGTAGCTTTGTTAAAAAATATCCACATTTAAAGACAGAATACACTTGATACTAATAAGCAAAAAAAAAAAAGACGTATAATGACGTCATGGAGCAGTGAGTGGCAATAATATGTTGTTTTGCATTCGAGAAACCTCAAACACAAACCCTGAAAATGCGTGAGAAACCAGAAAATATTTAGAAAATACCGGTAAGCCGTGCATTTATGCATACTGAAAAAAAAAATTGGTAGAGACTTTGAATCACAAGATTCACTGCCTGCAAAGAAACAGATTGTCATTAAAAATCTTGTCGAATATGATGCAAAGACAGCTTTTGAGTGGCAGAGACTTTGAATCGGACATTGTGCGGTCTGTGGAGAAACTGGTTAAAAAACTCGTGTCAAAAGATGATTCGTGCATCTGTTTCACTTAACAGAACTTAATTGTGAAAGCAGAATGACGCGGTAAAAGATTTAAAAACGTTGACAATCTAACTTTAAAAGATAATCGAAGAATTGTTGGCAAACTAGTAATCAAGTGTTTTGGATATGATTATTTTTCTTGAATTGGAAAGACCCGAGTATAAAGTGAAAAAGGCAAAATAAGTTTGAGAAACTTTCTCAATTCGTTACGCTACAATACGTTGTTAATCGTGCTTTGTGGTCACAAAACATGGTGCTTTTCCAACTGGCGAACATGAATTCCATATAATAAATGGATAAATAATAATGGAATGAAACTTCATACATAGAGAAAAAATTGTTCTTGCAAATAAAAATAAGTTGATTTCGATTATTGTAAAAATAATATGATGATGAGGTTTGTTGTCTATGTATTTTTTGAATTGCTGATCCTCGTACAGAATCGTAATTGGAATTATAAGAATTAAGGTATGTCACTCGTAAGCTTTTTAGAAAAGTTCACGTAGATCCTCTTTCTTCAAAAATATTTATTATAATTCATTTTTTATAAAATATTTAAATTCAACAATGTAAATTATTCAACATTCAAGATGAAAGGAAATTAAGCAGAAAATTCAGCAAATCTGCACATTTATTAATTAAATTATATATCTTGGAACTTTAGCCTCGCATACTTTTATTTGGATAATATTTTAATCCATGATATACTACGAATATTTTAAAAAAGGTCTCAATTTAAATTTTTTAGAACAAATTTTACACATTCCCTCAACAAATTTTGCCGAGAATTGTAGATATGTTAAAGAAGTCAAAATGAAATTTACACGATTTTTTGCCTGAAAATCGTATGTTTTTACTAAATCCGGATAGGCTCATATCTAAAAAGATAAATAAAATAACTCATTATAACGACTTATTTATCTCGTTATAACGAGTTAGTATCTCGTTATAACTAGTAAGTATTTTGTTATAACGAGTTAATTATATCGCTATAACGACTTAGTTTTATCTCGTTATAACGAGTAAATTATTTCGTTATGACGAGTAAATTATTTCGTTATAACGAGTAAATTATTTCGTTATAACCAGTTGGTTATCTCGTTATAACGAATTAGTTATCTCGTTATAAGGAGTTAGTATTTCGTCATAACGAGTTTGTTATCTTGTTATGACAAGTAAGTTATCTCGTTATAAAAAGTTAACTATCTCGAATTGGTTATCTCGTTATAACGAGTTAGTAATCTCGTTATATAACGAGTTAGTGTTTCTTTATAACGAGTTAGTATCTTATTATATAACGAGTTGATTATCTTGTTATAAAGAGTTAGTTTTCTCGTTATAACGAGTTAATTATATCGTTATACTGAAATTATAAATTGCCCTTTATTTCCAAATTAATAGCAATTTGGGAATTAAAAATGACTGTAGTTTAATTTCCATTGAGGTGAAGTTGATTATTGTCAGTCGTACTTAACTTTTAAATTGATGAAAAGTTGCAAATTTCATTTGCATTATGGTTTAAATAATATTAATCTTGTACTATCTTGCTGTTAACAATCACAATTTGATAAGTAAAGCAATCTTTACTTAGCACATTTACACATTTATACGTGTATACGCCAAATGTACTTGCAACAAAGTTTGGCACAACTTTCTCCGATAAACGACAATAAATCTTCATCATACTTGAAACAAACTGTAAACAAATTTGATCGACTCGGTTTTATATGCTATACTTCCTATCACTAAGATATATAACAACTTAAGACCAGTTTTTATCTCGTTATAACAAGAAAATTAACTCGTTATTACTAGAAAATTAACTCGTTATAACGAGATAACTAGTTTGTTATAGCAAATTAATAATTATCTTGTTATAACGAGATAACTACCTCATTATAACAAGATAATTAACTCGTTATAACGAAATAATTTACTCGTTATAACGAGATAACTAAGTCGTTATAACGAAATAATTTACTCGTTATAACGAGATAACTAAGTCGTTATAGCGAGATCATTTAGTCCTTATAACAAGATACTAATTCGTTATAACGAGAATACTAACTCGTTATAACGAGATAACTTTTTTGTTCTAACGAGTTAATTTTTTTTATCTTTCAAGAAATGAGCTACTGTAAATCACTTTTTATTCGCGAGAATTTTTATTATTTCGCGTAATTACGCTAGACAATGAGCTCGCGAAGATATGATTCTCGCGTATATTAGTATCCCAATGGATTATATAAAGCAACCACCACAATTCGTGAATATTTTGTCTCGCTCATAAAGTGGCAATGACTATCTCGCAAAAATAAGTTGTCGCGAAAATTTAGTGATCTACACCATCCAGCTTTCGTGTCTTTTGACCAATATTTCAAAATTAACATCACTGACCCTATATGTTTCCTTTATTTCGAACTACTCGAAACTTTTGACTGATCATATCTGAAGTCGTAAAAAGTTTAATGTCAGAAAATTTTTTTTTTGCTTATTTAGAATTTAATACCCCAAATATGTCACTTTTTAGATCAAAAGGGTCACATAATAATTTACGCACAGTAATTTGCAAGATTTGTTTTATGATAAATATTATTTAAACGATTTTCGTAAAATAAGATTATATTATTTGCCATTGTTACATCTGATTAAATATGATAAAGTAATTAACCAAGATTTAAAATTTAAGTGCAACAAGGTCAACTTAATTGTACTGTAGCTCAGTAAGATGCACAATGACCCCCTATTTCTTCTGATATTTTGAGTCATACTAAATGAGTAAATATCCAAAATCTATTTCACAACAAATCCTTAATTTAACAAAGAGCCTGAGTCAAAAAGTACACAAATTGGCCTGATTTTAAAATAGGACAATTTTTGCTCTGGATATATCTACAGACTATGTATCTTTTTTAAAACAATTTTCTTTTTTCAATATCTCTTTCATATTTTCCGTAAGAGGTCTTTAAAATAGCATATGTATATGGCCGAATTTCGTACATTTTATGGAACGTCATAATGACGTTGTGAATTTTAACACTTCTAAACCCTAAGGTATTCGATGTATAACGACCATATTTTGTACCTCATAAATGAATGGTCTGCTATTTTTAATCATGGTAATATTTTGAAGATGTTATCAAGTAAATCTGCTCCACCAAAGGAATTTACAAAATTTTGATTATTGTCCAAGTAATTTCACCTTGAATTTTACATTGAAGTCTACGGACAGAACATGCTTTTATAAGATATTTAAACAAAATTAGAATTTAAACAAATTTTGGTGAATCTATGCATAAACTCCCTCATTTTTAGTATGGAATAAAATTAATTAGTTACCATAGACATTTTGAGAAATCAATCATTTTCTCCTTTTTATCAAGGGCAGATAACTCTTCAAAAAATTTTAATGTGGAAAATGACCGTCTCCTTCCTTACATATTATCAGTTTTGTGAATTTGGTTAATGTTACTTTTCTAATTATGTAGCAATGTGTTTTTAACTAGTTCAAAATTATGTAAAGTCGTTCAAAATATCTTCATTATACATTGAATACTTAGTATCTTTCTTCAGAATTTGTCGATGTAAAAAAACATGCTTTTGTACTCACAAACTTAATATAAAAGTGCTTCGCACTAAATTTAATTCAGTTTGTGAGTACAAATGCATGAGTTATGCCTCCACATAAGTTTTATTTTTCCTGGTCCAGTAGTTCTGTAGAAGAAGTTAGAGTTTTGAAAGATTTCTTTATTTTTTTAGTTTAATATAATCATCTCCACTAGGAAATTATGTGGCACTTCTTTCAATTAAAACAAGAATTCCCTTTATCGAGGGATACGTTGTTGCAAGTTTGGTTAAAATATGCATAATGGTTCTTGCAAAGAAGTTGAAAATGTACAACAGTAATCAAATGATTGACAGACAGAAGGACATAGGAAAAATGTGATCGGAAACATGGACATTAGCTTTCAGCTTTGGTGAACATATAATACTTGAGTATATCAAAAGAGTGAAATAGATAAAAATATAAATACCTGAACATTGATAAGCTTTGTTTATTTCCTGTACGTCGTAGAAAGTCATAGTTTTAGAAAGGCCAATAAGGAAAGCAAGACTCTGATCGTGCAGCATCATGGTTGGCTTCGATTCATCTTTTGCACCAGCCTAATCAATAAAACAATGTAAATTATCTGCTTACTTGCTTATGCCAAACGATTCTTCAACGATGATGCACATGATGGGAATATGTGAATAATGACCTGTTTCTTAAAACAACTATCCATTAACGGCCATAATGAAACTTGTCTAATGGCAGGTTAAATTTCAAAACAAGCTGACAGGGGAAAAATGTAATTTGCAATTTATTATATATTCAATGATTATGCTCTTTTTTATTTCTTTAGATACCAAGAGTAATTGCCTTAATTAAATCGTTAAATAAATGTAGTTTAGCCTCCCGACAATAAACTAAGAACACACTAAAGTCGAATGAATTTTTATTGAAAAATTTTATTTGATTATTTTTATCAACTAAATGTTTGGACTGTAAATGTTTGTCAAAATTACAATTTTCAAACACGATTATTCAAAATAAAGCAAAATATTGAAAATGTGAATTTCAAATTGCTTGGAAACCGGGCATTTCTTCAATGTGTCCCAAAATACACTCAGGTACTCAGCCTGTAAAAACGAGGGCCATAAACCAGATGATGAGATCTGTCCTTAGTTCACTCAAAACAACCCCAAAGTGGTAGCCTTGGACGGGGAACAAAATATTCTTTCAAACTTTTAACTGTTATCTGAAAGTTTTTGGTGAGCATTTCAAGTCTGCGGAGCAAGCTTTTCAACTCAATTAGGCAATGCGCTCTGGTGATCTTGTGGCAGCAGAACGTATTCGCCAGGCTAAGTCCTCTCTTGAATGCAAATCCATTGGAAAAGCTATCCATGCCCCATCTGTTATGGAGGAAATTACAGATTAAAAATTACAACAGTGTAATGAAATGAAGGAAATCTTTACTTCCTCGTAGACTGCAGATGCACTCTTTGCCGATTCTGTGTACGGTCAATACTGGGACACTGTATCAAATGCCATTCAAATCCCTCACACAAAACCGATGGCGTGGCAACATCAAAATATTATAGAAAAGGTCATCATCAAACTCGCAGAAAAGCTACGTAAAGCACCAGCCAGTACATGGTCTCGTCCAAAGAGGTCAGGCTGAACCAACAAAAAAGGTCAACAGGGCTTAGACATCTACCTTAAGAGGTACATGTAAATCTTCAGACAATGGCAAACATCAAACTCTGTTCATTTTAATAATATTGACAAAAGATAAACATTATATATGATTGGCTAAATGATATTAAATGTGATATTATATTTTTACAAGAAACACATTCTGACTTTCCTCAAAGTTTCAATGACAAATTTATGAACAAATTTCTATTTATACGATTCCACTTCCGGTTTTTAAGACCCAACTTCGGAGTGATATAAAATTACATAAAACAGCCTATATGACCTATACACATTTTAAAATGATTTTTTCATGCATATGTTTTTAATACTTCCGGTGGACAAAGGACACATGTACCGTTCAAGATATATTATCACAGAAAGTTTCAAGATTAAATCCTCAATCGTTAGTGATAAAAGGCACAGAAAGAATTTCAATTTTAAAAGAGAAAATCTATAAACTAGAAGTCATCATATTTTAAAGAATGCCTTAGGAAAACAAAATACCAACCGCACACATTCTAACACCAGAACAAACCCGAGGCGGACCCTGGAATCGCTTCCTGGGTTCGCTCAGGGTCCGCTTCTGAGTCGCTCTCAGGAATTTTTGGACCGCTCTGGGTGCCCTTTGGTGCGCGCCGGGTTCGCTCCCAGTTTGGTCTGGGCCAGATCTGGGTCCGCTAGAGAAAACCCGGTGTTCGCTTTCTGGGATCGCTTTACGCATTGATGTGTGAAGCGGACCCCGCTTTAATCTCGCCGTCAGTAGAGCCCCGCCCCTTGTTTATTCCAAAACAGTAACGGAAACGTGAAATCGATCATTGTTGTTTTGGTGGCGATCGATACATGTACACTGTACACATATACAGAGAGTGAAATTATAGAGAACATTAATCGATTTTCCAAATTTCAACTGTACATTCCACGTAGATTAATAATTGTTTTCCTTCTCTGCTCTCAAAATTTCGATCCCGAGCAATTCAAATTTATTTTACAGCTAGCTAATAGTCCTTTATTTTTCCTCATTTATCACGTGAAAACAAAAACACAAGAGGAAGAAAAAGTTGTTGATTTGTTCTTCGAATTCAATATATCGAATGGTGTACAAGTGAAACTGACGAAATCCTCTCAACAAAATACCTTTCCAATTCATGCGTTATTTAGTTTAAAATTGTATTTGTTATTCCTTTCGTTTTAGATGCAAAATCGTAGTTAAAATTTTGTCAATTTATTGATCAGAGTATGATTTTAATCAGAATAAAAAAACGAAAAAAATAATTGTTCTCCCTATAAGAAAATATAAATATACACCCCACCCCACTTAATATACACATTAATGAAATTTAAGATAATTTTACTGAAAAACATTTCTAAATATTTAAATATTAATAAAAGTAGGAAAAATCAAGACCCCAAAAAAGGATATCATAACCGCAAACGCTCATTATCAGACTAGAATTCTTGATAAATTTCAATGAGTCGTCCTCCAAATTCTGCGTTCGGAATTGTTTTTATAAGCCTGAAAGTGCTATTTTTCCTTCAATTAATGTACAGGACGATGTACATTCACGTTAATTTTTTTCATGCCCAATCAAGATACATGTAATCCATAATTTTGATGTGGATGTTGATTAATTTGAAGGAACATTTAAATTGAGACAATAAAAATTGTAATGCCATTTTTTTCTTGTATGCATTGACCGATATATTTGCCCAATTTATAAAGAGTCATAAAGAGTTAACGATTGAAGGCTTTTGGCCCTCTTGGCCCCTAATTTGAATGTCCAGCTCCTGTTTCTGAATTTCACCTTAAAGGTCTTAAGATTTTGAACACTTTTTGTTCAACAACTTTTTTGCAGACTATATTATTTTATTTGCAATAGAAATATTTAGGAGTCAAACTTTCAACTCTCTCAAGGGGACGTTAAACGAAAAAATCAAAGGTTGAATATTGTTAAGAACATTATTTTGAACATCTTTTGTTCAATATTACTTATCAAAATATTTCTCACTTTCGAGATATATTGCGTCAAAAATTGAGCATTCTGGTCCCTTCTGGCCCCTAATTATGTACAATACGACAAAAAAAATTATAATATATCTTTGAAAATGGTTGAAATAAACATCTTTGCTTCAGTAATGTATACCAAAATATTGATTGATAAAGAGTTATCGATTGAAGACGTTTGGCCCCTCTCGGCCCCTAATGTGATGACGCAGTACTTTTTTTCTTGCCATTATGTTAAAGACGTTGTCATTTTGAACAAATGTTGTTCAGTATGTTTTATCAAAATAAGTATACTTTAATAGCTATGATCCAAATGTCTCAAAAAATCAGTCATGGTTCGTTTCCTAAATTTTGACCTATACCGAGCTTCCATACTAGGCACTTCCGAAAATATCCTGACCCAAGTGCAACATGGCAATATGTCTTCTATCATCCCTGAAAATTTCAGCTTTCTAGCTTAAACCGTTTCTGAGTTCCATAGCTGACAAAGAGACCCTCGAAAGTTCACTTGAAGGGCGACAACTTCCGACCGGAAGTTAATTTTGAGGATTTGAACAAAAAAGGATCCTCTTCAGATCAGAACACATTATCACTGAAATATTCGTTTATCAGATGTTACCCAAAAACTTTTGTAGAACGGCAGAAAAATACGCATTTTCTGACTTCTTCCTGTTCAACCAGAAGTGACGTCACTGGACGAATTTTGACGACGCCACTTGATTCAGCCTTTCATTTCAAACAACTTTGTTTCCTTAACATATTACAATTTCTCAATACTTTTTGAGATAATAAGGAAAAACTTTCGGCCCCTCTCGACCCTTAATTATAGGGATCAGCCCTTTTTTCTAGATATCATTTGAAAGATCATGTAATTCTACACTTATTTGTTTTATATGTTATAGAAAAATATTTTTAGGTAAAACGTTATCGAAGAATAGGTGTCAGAAATTTTGAATTTGACGATAGGACTATTTTCGGACCATAGCGAGCGTCGGCGCTTCGTACTTCCGGTAGTTATGATATACCAAGTACACTTCTCCAGAGTTTGTTTTAGCATCACTGAAAATTTCATGCTTCGGTGTTGAGTGCTTTTTGAGAAAACTGCCGGACAACATGACCCTTTAAAAATCACAAAATCGCAGAAAACTCAGAACAGGAAGTGACGTCATCAAAATATCAAAATATGTATCTAGATTTTTAATAATGCTCTAACAGACCTGAAAGTTTGATGAAAATCGAGCAAGATGTTTCCAAGAAATCGCAGTAGGTCTTCTGTCCAGTTTGACCACATGTAACTTTCAATTTTTTTTTTTACAAAAATGAGTTGTAACGCCCAAAATTGGTTTAGATCCTCTAAATGTTAATTAATGCAAAAATTAGCCAGTTTTTGCGACTTTCGGTTTGACCGGAAGTGACGACGACGGACGAAGATTAATTTTTCTGCTAACAGTGACAAATGTTACCCATAAACTTGTCAAGAAGGGCAAAAAACGCACACACGGTTTGGCCGGAAGTGACGTCACCGGACGTATTTTGACGATTCCAATAAATTAGGCTTGACATTTTGAACAATTTTGCTTCTTTGATGTGTTACAATTTTTCAAGACTTTTGTAGATATAGATGAAAAAACATTCGGCCCCTCTACGCCCCTAATTTTAGTGGCCAGCCCTTTTTTCGAAATATTATTTGAAAGATCTGGGAATTCTACACTTCTTTTTTCTATATGTTCTAAAAGATATTTCCAGATAAAAATTTATTGTAGAAAAGGTATAAGAAAATTTGAAGTTCGCGATAGGACTATTTTGGGGCCAAAGCGAGCGCCAACGTAAGGCGTTTTTGGAAAAAACAAAATGCGAAAGGCATATCTACAGACATAGGTATATCATACCTGAAAGTTTCATGTTTCTATCTCAACCCATTCTTCAGAAAAACTCTGGATAACCCGACCATTTAAAATTCATAAAATCGGCAATATCTCAGACCGGAAGTGACGTCATCAAAAAAGAAAAAAAGCATTAGGTTCAAGTGATGATACATAAGTCCTGAAAGTTTTATGAAAATTCATCGAGCTGTTTTCGAAAAATCGCGTCCACAATGTCGGTAAGAAAAAAAAAGTGAAAAAGAAACTTAAGAATAACAGAAAGGTCTTTCGCTGAAGACGAAAGACCTCAAAAAGTGAAAAAGTAACCTAAGAATCACTAGATGGTGTTCTGCTGAAGCCGGAAGACCTTAAACAGAAACCGAAGAATAACAGAAATGCCTTCCGCTGAAAGACCTTACAAAGTTGAAAAGAAACAACAGAATACTCCATTCTCAACAAATATTTATAAGCTCCGCCAGCAGATCGAAAACAAGGCTACGGTCGATACCAACAAAGGCACATGGCGGTCGTTGGTCATGATAAACATTGTTGTGTGCGTTTTTGCAACTGAAATCAGGAAAGCTTGGATTCAATCAATAATACGTGATCAGTAGCCTTATTTTACTTTAATTATTGATTCATACATGTAGTATATCAAACGACATGGCATTGTCGGGGTACAATATCTCCGCCCATGTCGAATAAAGTAATGTAAACGCAACAGTTAATCGCAACAGTGTGACATGGCCTTTAGAAACAGGGTATAGCAATGTCAAATGCAAAAAAATCTTTTTGGAAGCATTTATATGAATAAAATTATATTATTGTTAAACAATATATATTTTACTACTTACATTTAATGAGTACTGCATTACAGATTCAACATCATACGGAGTTCTGTCGAATGTATCATATTTTTCGAAATTATCCATAAATTCTTTTTTTATATTTCCCTTTATTATTGAAATAAAAGTTTCCCGATCCGACCGTGAGTGCTCGTGTAGCTGTCCGAGGGCATGCATCAGCTCATGAAAAATTGTTTCATACTGAAATTAAGAAAAGATATTTTAACAAGATGTTCAAGGGCCTTATAGGTCACCTGAGTGTCATGTAACAACTTTCCAAGAAATAAATTTGGTTCGTAAATGAGAGGCCATAAATTTGACAATTTTGAAAGATGCCCCATTGCTCATTTTAACTTTACAGGTAGCATGCGATTAGTTTGATTACTAATACCCAGAGGTAGAGTAAGGGAACAAAGAACAACAGACCTACGGGCCTTATAGGTCACCTGAGTATCATGTAACAACTTTCCAGCGATTGTATTTGGTTTGTGTTTTAATCCAAAAGCTATGAAATTCACAAATTTTGAAAGGGGCACCATTGCTTATCAAAGGGCAGATTTCAAAGCATTAATTTATTTTTAGTCAAAGTACCCCCCTGGTACCCCTGACCCAGCGGCCCTGAAATTATCTATTTTGAAAGAGGCCCCTTTCTTCATTATAAGGCCAGCATTTTTTTATGTTTAGGTTTAGTCATGAACCTGAGAATAAAAAAGTCCCGAAGGAGAAGGAAATAAATTTTTTTTATATAAATCAATTATTAACATTTGTACATTCTTTTTTATGCTATTCTAATAGGCTCCTTACCACTGGACACATAATGCTTACAAACAGGACAGTAGAACATTTAATTGCTTTTTTCATCATCTGCCAGTTTGGGCCAGTTATATAAATTTTGTGATGTTGGTCAAAATATATTTTAAAAAATCAATTCTTTAAAAGTCTTTCAATATATCAACATTTTTTTTAAATTTGTAGTTGTATATATATATATATATATATATATATATATATATATATATATATATATATATATATATATATATATATATATATAAAATCCAATAAATAGTCTCAGTGGTCGGAATTAAATACTTAAAATAAAAAAGAAAAACACGAAAAACTCCAGTAAAGCTTTAGGCCTTTCATTCTATCTTCAGAAGCTTTACAAAATAAACAACTGTAGTAACATAGTTACGTTACACAATAATTGGCAGAGTATATGACGTCGTTATTATGAAGTCAAATGTACTATGACGTTAACAGCTCTTTGCGCACAGGTAAAAGTACGGGAAATTTTCAAGTTCTTAATAAAATGCAGATATACATATGCATATATAATTAAATCTAATTGATATACATTCCATCAGATTGTTAAGCTTTGGTTTTAACGCACAAATAAAATGTTTTTCTTTCTGACGTCTACTTATATCATTTCCTCCTGCTACTGTGTAACTCCAATTTTGAAGGAACCTATTCAGTGAAAAAATGTGGAAATCCTCGGTGCGGAACCTGTGATTTTCATAGTACATTTGACTTCATAATAACGACGTCATATACTCCGCCAATTATTGTGTAACGTAACTATGTTACTACAGTTGTTTATTTTGTAAAGCTTCTGAAGATAGAATGAAAGGCCTAATGCTTTACTGGAGTTTTTCGTGTTTTTCTTTTTTATTTTAAGTATATATATATATATATATATATATATATTAGTGTTGGCAACGAGTACCCGGTTAACTGGTTAACCGTCGAACGTTGCGAGTATCGGTTAGTAAAACTGCTATTCGGTTACTCGGATAAAATAAATTCTACATAGTAAAGGCATAGAAAATTAATGTTTTAGAATTTATAAATGTATACTAACTTACACATTTCTAATTTTAAGTACCGTTAGACTTGATCTAGTGCATGTTTGTAGTGAATCAAATTGTTTGTATTTGCTTCACAGTTTATATAATTGATAGCTTTGTTTGCATGGGGTATACATACATATTTTGAAAGCCTGAGTTATAATTACCTAATTTAATAATTTAACGAGATGCCGCCGCTGACATAATAAGCTTGGAGTTGTAACAAAAGAACAGCTGATTCAAAATCTGTTAAATCACCTAAGCTTAAATTATTCGGAAACCAGCGATTTACTGGACACTCCACATATTAACTATTAATTATGGAGTATGTAAATAATTATTCTCCTTGATTGCGACATATTTCGGGGGCTGAAAAAGAAAGTATAAAATGGTGATTGACGATGACGTATTTATTTGTCTTTGTGTGTCGAATTCCCTATTAATTTTCTTTATTTTAAAATCGTAAATCTTGACGATATTGTATGTGTGTATTGTAAATATAATGTCCCTATACAGTATATTTGTGCATTACTACTACATGTACCGATAAGTATAGAATAAGATAAATAATAGATACCGATACGCTTACCAAAAAAATCATCCGAGTAACCGGGTACTCGATCGGAAGATGAAGCGAGTAACCGGTTACTAAAAATCGTCCGATTTGCCAACACTAATATATATACATATATATTTATATATATATATATTTATATATATATATACATGTATATATATATATATATATATATATATATATATATATATATATATATATATATATATATATATATGAAAAATGTTGTAGAAGTCCATGGTATACGTTAAGTTATAAATCAAAATTAAATCCAAGATAAACAAACAAGTTTACGTTTTTTTTTTACACTAAGCGCCTTGGCTTTCGCCGTTACTGCTCTTCAGAGTGTAACAATGATAATAAAAACAATACAACTTCGTTGTTATGACGTCGTTATTATGACGTCACAAAGGCAGCGTTATACATTGGCACAGGTTAATGTCAAAAAAGCGCCAAATGTATAGAGTTAAACACATGTACATTGTAATAAAATGGAACATTTCTTTAGAGCTAAAATGTTCAATTTACATTTAATTTAGGCTGAAATAATTTAACAAAATAATCTTCCTTGGCCATCCGTAATTGTTCATTATCTTCTGTGATTTTATAAAATGGAAATATCAAAAAGTTTCCATTCGCACATGAATCAAAATGTTCACTGCAAGGTGTATTCCTGACGGAGGGGTCTCGTATTTGTTGTTTATGGACTCTTACACGGTCAGCTAGTTTGTTACCGGTCTGTCCAATATAGTTTTCCCCGCCTGAAGTACAAGTCATACAGTATATTAAATGTCTAGTTTTGCATGACATATTCGCATTGACGGTAAACGTTTTACCACATTTAAATGTAAAATTTTCTCCGGTTTTTAAATAAGGGCAGGTTCCACACAGGGGATCCATACATTTGGTTACAGTGCGTTTTTCCTCATCCGATGAGAATCTGGCTCTTGTTAGGAGTTTCTTTAGGTTTGGAGGTTGGCGTCGGCTATAGATGATGCTCTTCGGGTCAATTAATTCCTTTAAATTTTGGGATTGCTGTAAAATAGGAAAACACTGTTTTACGGAGTTATATATATTAAGGTTCCGTAGGTTATGGGTAACGACCAGCGGGATTTCCTTATTGTTTTCCTGGCGTCCTCGTCTAGTAGAACGGAGATCTGCAGTCGGTATTGACTTGGCCTTTTCAATTACTATATCTGTTAAGTCGTTAGGATATTTTTGTCTGAGCAAAAATGTTTTTAATTCCTGTAGACGGCCATTTCTTCTGGTTTCATCTATGACAATGGTACAAACACGTCTTGCCATATTAAAAGGTATGTTACGTTTAACGTGTGACGGGTGGCAAGAATTAAACACGAGATATTGGTGGGAATCCGTTTTCTTGTAGTATAAATCTGTTATGATTTTGCGACTCTCCTTAATTATAAGAATATCCAAAAAGGGTAGTTCTAACCTGCTCTTTTCCAGGGTAAATTTAATAGAAGGATGTAGATTGTTAAGAATTGTATGGTATTCTTGTAAATCCTCAGTAGATCTCGTCCAATAAATGAAACAATCATGTTAGTATCGTTTCCAATTAAATCGTCTGTATTGCGCAAAAGGATTTCCAAATCGTCTCTCTGTTTCGTTGAACAGTTTTTCTTCTAAAAAACCGAGAACTAGGGTTGCATAGGTTGGGGCAACTTTCGTGCCCATCGCTGTTCCCTTAATTTGTAGAAAATTTCTCCCGTCAAAAACAAAATGATTATTCTCTAATACTATTTTTATTCCTTCTAGAATAAATTCTTTAGAAAATCTTTCGTGAATTTGATTGTGGTATTTGTCAATCCAAAAAGCGATTGCTTCTAGTCCAAGTGTATGCGGTATGTTGGTATAGAGGCTCGTTACATCAAAACTAACCATCTCAGTATTTAGTTCAACTGTATCTGGAATGTGGCCGAGAAAATCCAAATCATCCCTTACATAACTTGGTACAAGTTGGCATAGAGGCTTTAGAAGTATATCCAACAAGTTGCTGAGTCTGTGCGTGGGGCATGCAGGGCCTGCTACAATTGGTCCAAGTTTTAAATCCGTTGGTCGAGGTAATTTTATATATAATGAGTTTTTACCTTCAAGTCCGTTCTGTATTTCTTTGGATTTGTGGATCTCCGGTTTCGATGTCTATGCTATACCCAAACAATGGATATTTATTTACATTACCGGTATGACATTGAAAACTATCAACAATTGAATTAACTTAAAACAGATGAAAACTAGAAATTTTTAAGTACAGTAAAACGTATGACAGATAAAGATTTTTTTCATAGTCTTGAAAAATCAAATTGCCACTCTTTCTTTAAGATTAATACTTAGTTGTAAGTCGTTCATTTTTAACCCCAACCCCCACCCCCCTTTTATCTGCATATTATAGACTAGAAATTGTAAAAAAAAAAAAAAAAAGAAGAAGAAGAAGCGGAAATAAAAATATTAAACAATCTGCTCTCTATTTCTTTTTCTAAAAGACCCATTTCCCTTTTAAAATGTTTATCAAAACATTGAATATTGAAAACGTCAATATCTTACGTCTTGATTTGACCTTATCACCAAAAAGTTATCCAACCAGGGTTAATTATTTGTCAAACCGATTATTTGTAAGAAATCGATCAAGCTTTACATTTTTTTCAAAGTGCGTTAATTTGGTCGATATTAACGCACTTTGAAACGAAATTTATTTTTTTCAAAGTGCGTTAGCTTGGTCCCAAATTTAACGCACTTTAAAAATTTTTTCAAAGTGCGTTATTTTTCAAAGTCTGCTGTAACAAGGCGTCAAGACCGTCAAGTTCTGTTATTTTAGGGGACAGACAGGGATTTTCATACCAGGGGAGGAAATTCCCACATTTACTCGAGGAAACACTTCTAAATCGCTGGCTCTTTGACTGCCAAACAGAATTTGGTTCGAGTTTTATACAACAGGCCAGGAAATTCACAATTCACAATTTTGAAAAGAGGCAACGCTGCTTTATATAATTATACACTTAGTATGCGTACTCTATTTACTTAATACCCAGTGTAAAGTCTGAGGGCTATATCAGAGTAACAAAGAGAAAATGCACTGCAAATTTATAACCACTTTTTCACCTCATATCCGACAGGAACCATTTATCTTGGGGCCACATATTTCAAAATTTTGGAAATTCTATCATAAATTTCATTTTATCATAAATGGTTGATGAATACCACAGAACAGATTTTAAAACATTAATTTATTTTCAGACTATGTAAGATCCCTCTCCCAGCTACCCTGACACAGGGTGTATGAAATTAATCATATTGCAAGATGCACCTTTCTTTATCATATATATTAGCATAATACCCTTAAGCAGTGAAAAAGATTTTCACAGATTTCATGCATTTTCACTATTTATAATCATTAGCGTCTCGCCCTTACACCAGAACCCCTGATCCAGGGGATATAACTTTGGAAGAGGAATCCTTCCTCTTCATAATTACATGTATGTACATAGTTCATTGGTTTCATACCTAGGAGCAGAGAGGAGGAAAATTTTTAAAGAATTAATGCATTTTCACTCTTCAATCAATAGAGCCTCGCCCTAACATCAGAACCCCTGACCCATGGGCTGAAATTCACAATTTTTGAGGATGCTCTCTTGGTCATCATAACTATGTACTTGGCTTATTTGTTCAATATCCAGGAGTAGAGGAGAAGATTTCACTGAAATAAAGCACTTTTCTTTTATGATTTATACAGCCACACCCTAACACCTGAACCCCTGACCCAGGGACCATGTATATTACAATTTTGGTACACGACTGAAAGCTGATTACAATCATGCCAACAGTTTGACTTCTTGATCTCCAGGAGGAAAGAAGACGATTGCATTAATCTGAGCGGTTTTGACCCCGACCATGAAATTCAATTTTTTATCTAATTTTCTATAAAATGTTTTGTTTCCCTTCACCCATAAATTAGGTTGAAATTGTTTAAGTGATTCCAGAGAAGAAGTCAAGAATGTTTAAAGGTTTACGAGCGACGAACGACATACAACCACAGACGAAAACAGATAACAATAGGTCTCCTAAGATTTGTCATGCGACCTAAAATGCGTTTGGTGATAAACGATCGAATAAATGTAAAAGGTAATTCAAAGCCATAAGTTCTTCCTGATTCGCACTCCCAATCTAATGATCAAACAATATGCATACGTGAGAAAGCTTTACAAACAACTTATTAGAAGGATAAAAAACAAGAAAACAAACTATTTTCTCTCAAAAGATCAATTCCCTTACCGATTCAAAAAGGTGTCCTTATTACAAATAGATTTGGAATGAGTAAAGGTTGTTGGCTCTGGGCCTTTGTTTGCTTCTTTAACATGTTTAATGGAGACATTAAGAATCACACATTTTATCCGAATACCCATTAGATTCGATTATGTTCACCAATAGATTAAAAAATTAAATAGGTCTAAGTTCCGCTATATATATGTTATGCATTTGGTGAAGCACTTTATAAGATCTCTTAAATAATAAATGTTAAAATTTGATAAAAATAAACAAAACAAAAAAAAAATCTGTAATGTACTTACGTCACTGCATTCTAACTCATTTAAATTAACCTCCTGATCAGGATTCTGCTGGCCAACATCTGCAAAGCAACCGGGTTCGCTTAAAAATACAAGAAATAAATATAATTTAAATGTTTAGAAAGAAAAAAATATTTCAAATTATCTATTTTAAAATTCATTGCTGCATAAGGCAGAAAAAATCATGTGTATATAAATTTAAATAAAAATGCATGTACTTTGAATTTGACAGGCAAAGCTAAAACCAGTGTCAACTTACAAGTTTTTTATTACACCGAATGTCTTATTGATAAAATTGAAAAAGTTTGGCATTTCATTCTGAATCAGATATAGTTTTAAATGGATTTTAAACTCTTCGGTAGTGTAACGATTTTTTTTTCAATTCTTTCATTTACTTTTTCGTTTCAACATTAATAAATCAATAATAGAAAAACATCCTTCGTCTGTGACACTTTTATTTCAATGTGATATCTCAAGAAGCCTTTGAGCTTTTGGTGAATTTCGAAAATGATTTTAACAACATCTCAAATGCTCGCGTGTACCCAAGAGAGCCGCCTGGGGTTTCATTGTGTTTAAGGGGGATGTACGGCCAACTTTAGTGCAGTGAGAACAAACTGTAAACATTTCTTCAAATGGCTAATATACATTATATTTTGATCAACTTTTAAGTTTTTATGATTAAGATACAATTGATATGCATAACTGAATGCATCTTGTACATATAATATCTATACTTTTGCAGAAAAATGCCTTTGATATGCTCCTTAGAACTGCGTAGCCACAGAATTCAGGAGAGCCTTAAAAAATCCAAAAAAATATGCAAACTGTGCACTAATGTTCTCTCTACAATCATTTGTTGAGAAAATGTTTAAATTTTGCACTTTTACAAGGGTTGATCCAAAAGTAATGTCACATTGTCCATATCTTTTTTATTTGACGTCATATTATCAAATACAATATACCAAAAGATGTACAAATATAAATCTAATTAACATTAAAATTTTTAATTAAATAATGTTTATTTGAATTTATTTAATAGATTTTAAAACATAGAGCATAGGGGGTGTCGCCACGTGACAACGGAACGTCACGTTTTAAAGCGTTTTTTTTTAGATTGAAAAAGACAAACGCATTAAAAAAATTCTTAAAAAGCACCTAATCTCCCAATTTTTTTTGAAAGACACAATTTCTGTCATTTTCTCGTTTTTTAATTGAAAATTAAATGACGGCATTGGTATTTGTGATTATAAACATTGTTGTTTTACTTTGTTGAATTGATCAAAGGGATTGTCTAAATGGGAAAAAAATGGCTCGACCAGTTGTAATGCATTTGTTGCTTCAAAATAAGGGAATCATCACAAGCGACAGTAACATAAATTAATCAGACTTACAGAATAAAGAATCAAAATAAGACATCTTAAAAGATGGTTTCAGCAATTTTGGGCGGGTAATTGGTCACAGAATGATCAGCAGAGGACTAAAAGACCGAAAGATAGAAGATCAGACGGAAACGTTCAATGATGTCCGGCGTCAAAAAAGACAGACGTATAGAGTGACATGCATATGTGAATTTCTAAGTTTGTCTTTGCTACCGTTCACAAAATTTTGACAGAGGGCTTAACTATGAAATGAGTGAGTGTATAATTGTGCCAAGAACTCTTAAAGAAAGTGGAATTGGTGAAAGTGTTTGTGAATCACAAATACTTTTTAATGAAACGTAGGGGAAACCCTTAAAGTATGACGGTGCGTATCCGTCATATGACGTAATATTTAGGTGCGACGACTACCATAAATGCACATTGTTTAAAATCCGATATTTTGGAAATTGTACATCATATTCCGTTGAATTTTTCAGGTCTGATTTGAAATAAATAAATCTTCCATTATGCATAATACTGTTGCTTTACGTTAATTTATAGCAATTTTATCAACGTTGTGACATCACTTTTGGATCATCCTCGTAAATGACAATTTCAAGTCCAAAACAAGGTACCGTTGTCTTCAAAATGAGCGTAAAGAACCATGAAAGTAGTTCATGGATAGCAGCACGTGATCAATTTTTAGCACCAAATTTTGTTTTCCAGACCTCTTCTTAATATGGAGGGACATAACAATCTTTAAATGTAGAAAATTACAGTGCAAAATATTTCAAATAATATGAACACTTTTAAAAGAGGAAATGTGTTAAAGTGTTTCTTGAAGTAATTTATTTAGTATTATTATCGAACAGTTATTAAGGGGAGACAGGGCACATGTCAAATGACCCAAAAGACTTATTACGTCATAATCGGTGATGGTATACATGTTAAACGTTGTTAAACTCAACAGTTCTTTTGTAATTTTAATCTAAATTCTAAAATGTTTTTAAACATTTAATTTTAGAAGTTTTTATTCGTTAATTTTTTAAAGATCTTGCCATCATTTAGAAATTGCAAAGTTGCCCAATCCACACATTTGTTTCTCCTTACCCTGCAGTTTGACATCAGTGACGTCATAGACGTAGTGTTTAAATTTTCATTGCAGCGAGATCAAGTACACACACCCGTCATGATCAGTTTTATTTCATAATAAACAGTTCACAGTCAATTTATCGTGATAAATTTCTGAAGCAGATTTTTTATCATTAATATTTTTTATTCTATTGTTTTTGGAAAGTGCTGCTAGAATCGCATGGTTTACGGGAATTAGTGAATATTTTTCGATGTTATGAACAAAATGTAAAAAAATTGAGAAGGTTTCGACCGAAAGTGTTGAATAATTATTTCTGTGATAGGAAAGTAGGATTCTAGCAGCACTTTTCATGGTACAGAGATGTTTTTCAATAATTATTATTATAAATTGAAACTAATCATCTCCGGGGTAGTGTTGAACTTTTCACTTTTTCATAAAGATATATTTTCTAATTATAGACGTCACGTGGTGACGTCGTGGGGAAGTGCTTCATGTAGTATAAGTCCCATTGAAGTCTATAGAATGCATAATTATAGCAAAAGTTTAATCCTTGACTTTAACGATTTATGAGTGTTACATGATTATAAAAAAGTGTTAATTCGCCGAATTCTGATCCATGTGCTGCCTTAACAAACCCGCGAATATTTCAACAATAATATAGCTATCAAATACCTAAGATATCGTTCACTTTTTGATCACCCCTCGTATACTCTGTCAAATAAACATTTACAATTTTCATTACAGCGGAGCAACATTTGAAAAGGAGGAAATATATCATTCAGAGTGGGTTAGAAGATTTAATGAGTAAAAAAAAAACTTTTTTTAATTTGCCCATTTTGTCAAAATTACAATTTTATACAGAATAAAGAAAAAAATTAACATAATTAAATATTTTATACCATCTTTAAAATGACGTTTGGTGGTCCTCCCAACTCGGGGAAAATTATTGGGTCGGTATTTATAGGTGAGAAAAAATTAAATTTAAAAATATTTGTTATACGGAAGAAAACAAAAATTGTGTACTAAATTTAGTCGGACCATTTCTAGACAGTAGATCGGGAGAGAGGGCAACTAAATATTTTTATAACAAATGGTCTTATTAGGCTAGTACATGTTCCATCACATATTTAGTAATGCAAACTTTTTGAATCTTTGGCACTATTTAGAAAAACAAACAAACATAGGATTTTAGGGTGACCTCTCACTTTTTTTTGCGATGATAGACATAGCATATGCAATGGACCTTTCTTTGCAAACATTGAGTTTGCTTCTAAATTTCAAAGAAACAAATCAATATATTTTATCAAGCTTCGTATGTTCAATGAGCGAGAGCTTACAACGTTGTCAACATAATGAGATATGGTGCGTTTTTATGTCCAAACATTACTCCATACAATGTGTGGGTCATTGCAAACAATCTAGCTATTTATGTGAGGTGCCTGAAGGGAATCTTATAACTGCCTATTGTTTCTATCTAACTGCTAACAAAATATACATATGTACCAACGTTTCGAATGTAAGACATGTAATTAATATTTGTTTTTCATGCACCGCATATTGTTTAACATTTTCAAATTAAATGCTAAGCATCCTCCTTGCAGTGCCCCATTTGAAAATAACTTCTATCGCCACAGAAAAAAGACCCGACGTAAACACAGATGTTAAGGACATTTTTTTTTTCTTGAGTTTTAAAGAAACCAACAAATTATCAAGACTTGTTCCTTGAAAAATTAAATATAATCATGGTAATAAACGTATCTATCCACATCAGATATATGCACATGCCAACCACGTGCTCAGTGGAATGATATTAACAAGGAAATTTGAGCTGTAAACAGAACAGTTTTTCCCGATTATCAAGCTTCGTATGTTCAATGAGCGAGAGCTTACAACTTTGTCAACATAATGAGATATGGAGCGTTCCCAGATAGCAAGACATAGTTGGGCCAACATTGGCCTAATTATTTTTCCAATGTTGGCCCACTGTTGGTAACCTTACATTGGCCCACGGTAATTTTGCTCATCGAACCAACGTTGGTCCAACATGTTGGCATATTGTTGGGCCAACGCAGGTATAATTGTATGACAACTTACAGTCAACCTTAATAACTGGTTGGTTAGGTTGGCCCAACGTTGGCCCTTTGTTGAAATGTGAGATGGCATATTGTTGGGCCAACGTAGTTATTAGTGTATGTCAACTAGCAGCCAACTTTAACAACTGTTTGGTTAGGTTGGCCCAACGTTGGCCCTATGTTGAAATGTCAGATGGCATATTGTTGGGCCAACGTAGTTTTTAGTGTTTGCCAACTAACAGCCAGCCTTAATAAACAATTGGTTGGTCCTTTTTTACAATGTCAGATGGCAAATTGTTGGGTCAACATAGTTATTACATAGAAACATTTGCAATTGGTTAAGTGTTGCTTTACTTAAACCTATTTTATGACTGTTTAAAAAAAATAATACACAATTCAATCTGCATTCATAATGCATACATGGGCAGATTCAATGAAAACATTACTAATGATTCACTGTGAAAATATTTTATATACATCAATTCAATCATAATATACAAAATAAATTTTAAAATAGACAATAGTTAAATAATGAAAAATTAATAATTCAAAGTC